AAAAAAAAAAAAAAAAAAAAAAAAAAAAAAAAAAAAAAAAAAATCAATTTTATTAGAGAAAAAAATGGGATAAGAAAATACTGTTTTTGAATCGTATGGATGGATGTTCGGGATATCTCGATATTATGAATGGCACGGAACTGCGATGGACGACGGCATCCAGTGACTTGGGATGACATCAAGGCATATGGGCAATGCTAATTGGGAACTAAGAGTATGTTGAATGCAACGTTACACAGAGACCTTGGTCCTAGAGGAAAGGTCGAGTCGAATGACTTGGCCTAGTGTATAGGTAAATCGGTTGTGTTGAAAATAATTGAACATATACGCATAGACGAAGTGTGTGGTTGAACAAGTTTGGATTCTGCACCACTGATGTTTAGTAGGTGAATTTAAATCTCGCCTAAGATTCGACGAAGCAATAAAACAGGGTGAAAGTGAATATGGGTTTGGGTTCTCTTCAAAACTAGTCGTGAGGATATCAAAAATCACGAAGCAGCATGATTAAAAAAGTACGAATGTGACACCAAGCACGTTGATTTTGATAATATATTATAAGTATGGTATTATGAAATTATTATTATTATTTTTTTCCTATTAGATATAATTTTTAAATTTCAATATAATTGTATAATATTTTTAAAGTAATGAGACTAAAAATAGGGTCGGAACTATTTCAAATTATTTGTTTGAAATTATTTTTAAAAAATGAAAAAGAAAATACATCATATTGACAATTGAAATATACACGAAATATTTCGTTGGACTGAATAGTTGGGCTTAGGGCCCTATCAACTAAACTATTAATGGGCCCAAGCCCAATTTCACAATTGACGGTTGCCGAAGGCCCAACAAGTGTAATCAGAACTGGAAGCCAACAAGAAAAGAGAGAAAGCTTCTCTGCGGGCGTGTCTACCATGCAATTGCATCTGCAAGTTCCGTCTTAGATTCAGGAACTCCATAGCCAAAGCCGGAATTGCGACCACACCGAGTCCGTTGTCGACGAGATATTTATCTTCGAATTGTCTTGCTTCGAACGGAGCTGTACGTCAGCATAATTCTAGTCCGCCATGGCTCCGCCTGCGTCGTCTCATCGAACTCCATCGCCGTCCCAACCATCGGGGTAGGTGGCAAATTATCTCTTCCCAATCCAAATTTCTAACATTGGCAGCTTTCAGGATGATTTCGAATTATACATGTGTAATTCATTTCTGCTGATGGATTAGTTCAGGAGCTGTTTTGAGATTGGTATTTGATTGGTTTTACTATTTTCCCTCTGAATTTGGAAGTCGTGGATCTGCTTAAGTTCGAAATCGTGCTTTTCCCCGTTCCTTCATTACTTCAGCTTTTTATTGACGCGCATTGTTTTCGATAACCGAGGTTTAGTTGTTTGCATGACCAGTGTGTGCATCGTGTGTCCGATTGTATTTGTTCTAGCGTCCAATGACCAAAATCCTGATAAATATTTTTGCACTGTCATTTCACTTTCACACGACGTTCTGTAATTTTCCTTGTTTTGGTTTGTCATCTGGGAATAATTTATTTGCACTTTGCATTGGGTCGAATTGAAGTTTGATCGATTGAGTTTCCTCTATCCTTGCTTACTTTAATTTCGCTCAAGTTCTCATCAATCCGATGCATTAGTTCTATGGATTTCGATTTTATGAGTCACTAAAATCAGATCTATGTTTTCTTCTATTAATCGTGTTGAGCTTTACTGGAATTTGATTCACTTGACCAGAAAAAGCGAAGTATCTGATCTGAAATCACAGCTCCGGCAGCTTGCTGGAAGCAGAGCACCGGGTGTTGAAGATTCCAAGAGGGAGCTTTTCAAGAAAGTGATATCTTACATGACTATTGGGATTGATGTATCGTCTCTCTTTGGAGAGATGGTGATGTGCTCCGCTACATCAGACATCGTTCTTAAGAAAATGTGCTATCTATACGTTGGCAATTATGCCAAGGTGAATCCTGATCTTGCTCTGCTCACAATTAATTTTCTTCAAAGGGATTGCAAGGATGAGGATCCAATGATTAGAGGGCTTGCTTTGAGGAGCTTATGTTCACTTCGCGTTGCAAATCTTGTTGAGTATCTGGTAGGGCCCTTGGGTTCTGGCTTGAAGGATAACAATAGTTATGTGAGAATGGTGGCAGTTACGGGGGTTTTGAAACTATATCATATATCTGCTTCGACGTGTGTAGATGCTGATTTTCCAGCTTCGTTGAAGCATTTGATGCTCAATGATCGAGATACTCAGGTGATTTATTTAAATTATCTAATCCAAGTTTTTATTATGCACTATTATTTATCTCTTTGATCAAATGAACGATTTCCTTACCCAAGAGATTTCGAGTACCTCCATAATTTATGCTTTACATAAAATTATAGCAGGAACTGGAAGTAGCATGCCTACAGATTTCTCGTAAACAACCGTGATTTTTATTGTATTTCAAATTAACTTGAATTTTTTGTTGGGTACTAGAGCACTATATATTTATTGAATGGCGTCCGTTATATTTTAACTTTTCCTTAATGTATTGATGAGAGTATTTCTTAATGTATTGCACCTACCAGGTAGTTGCAAATTGTTTATCTGCTCTACAAGAGATTTTGACCTCAGAAGCCAGCTCATTGGAAGAAGCATCTAGGGAAAGAGAGGCTTTGCTCAGTAAGGCAGTTGTGTATTATCTTCTGAATCGGTATGTTCTATAGCCTAAGGAATGAGGAGCCCATTCTTGATTACTGTCTCTAGCTTTTGATCTAAAAGGAGCATTGATTTTACTTTGGTTCTTTTTCTTTTTTTCTTAACTTTTAGAAATATTATCATCTTAGTCATTGGAAGTTAGAGCTGCTTAGTTATTATATATGTTTTGAAATTTATATATTAAATTTACCACATTCTGGGATTGTTTATATTTATAGCATCGTAATCATTGGATTGTTTATATATTAAATTTACCGTAGCCCATCAGCTTAAGCATTTCGGTTGATTGATGATTTGACATGGTACCAAAGCAGGAAGTCCTAAGTTCAAACCCCTATATTGTCATTAACTTCCCAATTAATATTGATTACCACTTGTTGGGTTTTTGTAAAATTTCCAAGTCCAAAAGTGAGAGAATGTTGAAGTGTCGATATATTTAAATTTACCATAACCTGTCAACTTAAGCTTGGTGACTAAAGAATCAAAGTTTCTAAAGAAGTTCTGTAGTTCGTGAAAGGGACAATAACTTTTGGACTTGTATTGATTGGTTGTTTTAAAGTCTCTTAGCTAATCTCTCTATTAAATGGTTCTTATAGATGCATTATATATTATGTGAATGCGAGAATTTTAGAGATAGAATATCTATCATACCTTGTTCAAACAAAATGCTTATGCTTGCAGGATCAAGGAATTTAATGAATGGGCACAATGTCTTCTACTTGAATTGGTCTCCAAATATGTACCTTCAGATAGCAATGAGATTTTTGATATCATGAACCTTCTTGAAGATAGACTTCAGCATGCTAATGGTGCTGTTGTATTGGCAACCACCAAAGTTTTTCTACATTTGACTTTATCCATGACTGACGTTCACCAACAGGTGACTATCGAGAGTTTTGATCCTTTTATAACATTTTATTTGTTTACTTAACTTTTATTACAGTTTTACTTTTCATCTCTCATGCATAAATAATATGGCCTTACCTATTTGCAATATTTTTCTTTTTTGCCAAGTGTATGGAGTCCAGGTTACCCTCTACCTCCAACGTGGCAGTCTAAATTTTGTAAAAGGAAATTAATTGAATTATTGTGCAAAATATAGTTCTTCTGCTAGTGATCTTCTGTGTTCCTATCCTAGAACAAGAAATTATTGCTGGTTGCTGTTTAGTCGAGATTACCACTAATATCCTATTTGTTGACTTTCAGTTCTCATGTTGGAATGACATGATCTTCTTATACCATTCTTCTTTTCCTCTATTGAGAACATAAAGTTGATGGAGTTCTATATAATGGCTAGGTCTATGAACGGATTAAAGCGCCTCTCTTAACCCTAGTGAGCTCAGGAAGCCCGGAGCAATCTTATGCAGTTCTAAGCCATCTGCATCTCCTGGTGATGCGTGCTCCATTTATATTTTCCTCAGACTATAAACACTTCTATTGTCAGTACAATGAGCCATCTTATGTCAAAAAATTGAAGCTTGAAATGTTGACTGCGGTGGCAAATGAAAGCAACACTTACGAAATTGGTGAGTGAACTCCATTGGGATATTCTTGTGTCTAGTTATAAAGTTGATTCATACGGCACCTTCTTTTTTGATCTGACACTTGATACCTTTGAGTTGCTTTTTTCAGTGACGGAATTATGTGAATATGTTGCAAATGTTGATATTCCCATTGCAAGAGAGTCGATACGTGCTGTTGGGAAAATAGCACTGCAGCAGTATGATGTGAATGCAATTGTTGATCGACTTCTGCAGTTTTTGGAGATGGAAAAGGACTATGTGACTGCTGAAGCTCTGGTAATTAGTTTTTGACACAATTGTTAGCTTTTGTCTTTCGAAAACTGCCGTACATATGCATTATATTCACCTCTTTTATATTAATTTGTATTACGAAAGTAGCAATTAGTGGTGAAACAAAGTGTTTCTTTTTCTTTATTTGCTTGGTAATGTAAGGAATGTAACAGCTCAGGCCCATCGCTAGCAGATGTTGTCCTCTTTGGACTTTCCCTTGTGGGCTTCCCAGTTTTAAAGATTTCCACACCCTTATAAGAAATGTTTCATTCCCCTCTCCATTCGATGTGGGATCTTATATGGAATTCTTTTGGCAGGTACTTGTTAAAGATCTTCTGAGAAAATATCCACAATGGAGTCATGATTGCATTGCTGTTGTCGGCAGCATCAGCAGTAAAAATATTCAAGAACCAAAGGCGAAAGCAGCTCTTATCTGGATGTTGGGGGAGTACTCACAAGACATGCACGATGCCCCATATATTCTAGAGAGTTTAATTGAGAACTGGGATGATGAGCCTTCTGCTGAGGTTAATCCACCCCCCACCCACTCACAAATTATGCTTAAAACAACTGAAGATACTACTGCCTGTCTTATTGTTGGTTTATTATTTAAAATCTTACAACTTGAATTGAATCACAAAACTCACATGCAGTCTTAAAGTTTCCGTTTAAACCTACATATTTGTTAACTTCGTATCTTAAAAAGAAACGACAATGTCAAGTTTTAATATTTTCCCCTACTCTCTTGGTGACATCAGATTACCGTGTTCGGTTATGGTCAATTTAGTCATTTCAATTATCTCTTGTTATTACTTTTGGAGATGTCGGTTGATTCCCATTATTTATGTACGCTTACAACTTTAATGTTCTAAAATCTTGATATTTCTTCCCTTACACGGTGAATGATGGGCCATATCATTATTGCAGGTTCGCCTACATATTCTCACTGCAGTGATGAAGTGTTTCTTCAAAAGGCCTCCTGAAACTCAGAAGGCCTTGGGAGTTGCACTGGCAGTAGGTCTTGCTGACTTCCACCAGGTAGAGGTTATTCGTTGCTTTTGGATTCTTCGCAACATTTGTCTTTTCGTGTCGTAATATTTTTCTTTTGATTATAGGATGTGCACGATCGAGCACTATTCTACTACAGACTTCTGCAATATAATGTTTCTGTAGCTGAACGTGTCGTCAATCCTCCAAAGCAAGCCGTTTCTGTATTTGCTGATACACAGAGCAGTGAAGTCAAGGATAGAATATTTGACGAATTTAATAGTTTGTCTGTTATTTATCAGAAGGTAACGGCACTTAATCCTCATGGGCATCCAGAATCGTCATGGAGCAAAATTGAACAATTTTTTGTACTCTACGGAGTTAGCTATTGTCATGCATATGTTGTTTAGCTGTGACCAAATTTTGACTTTTCTTCTACGGTTTTGAATTTATTGTATAATGCATATACTTTGTATATGTTGTTGCAGCCATCTTACATGTTCACTGACAAGGAACACCGAGGTCCATTTGAGTTCTCAGACGAACTCGGAAATTTGTCTCTTGGTGCAGAGTCTGCAGATGCCGTTGTTCCAGCTCAGCAAGTCGAGGCAAACGATAAGGACCTACTTCTAAGCACATCAGTGGAAGAGGAAACTAGAATCGTAAGTAACAATGGTTCTGCATATAGTGCTCCTTCATATGAAGGCTCCGTTGGAGCTCTCATTCCTCAAGCGCCATCAGAGTTTGCAGTCTCAAATCCTTCCATACCCGAGCCTGCTCCACCATCGAGCTCTCCAATTGATGATCTACTTGGCCTAGGTCTACCAACAGTGTCTGCTCCTGTTCCTGCGCCTGCGCCTTCACCACCTCCTCTGCAGCTAAATTCAAAAGCTGTTTTAGCTCCAGGAACTTTTCAGCAAAAATGGCGCCAGCTTCCTATATCTGTATCACTGGTTTGTTTCCAAATTTTATTACATCAGCCAGAATCTTCATTGTTGTTTTCCCATTTTGATTATTGTGGGATCCCACATAAGTTAGAGACAAGTTAGAGACGGGAACAAAATATTACCTCTCCCTAGTAGACGTCTTTTAAAACCTTGAGGGAAAGCTCAAAGAAGAGAATATCTCCTATTGGTGGGCTTAGGCTGTTACAAATGGTATCAAAGCCAGACACTAGGCGGTGTGCTGACGAGGACGTTGGTTCCCATGGGGTGGATTGTGAGATCCTACATCGGTTGGAGAGGAGAACGAAACATTCCTTATAAGGGTGTGGAAACCTCTCCCTAACAGGACGCTTTTTAAAAAGCTTGAGGGAAACCCCGAAAGGGAAAGTCCAAAGAGGACTGCTAACGGTGGGTTTGGGTTGTTACAATTATATTCACCCGTTCCAAGGGAAACTGAACTTAGGATACTTGCACTATACCGTCTTCTACATTGTGCTGACACCAGACCCATTTTTTGTTGCAGGAACATGCTGTAAGCCCGAGAGGCATTGCAGCTCTAACATCACCGCAAGTCCTCCTCCGGCACATGCAAAGCCATTCCATTCATTGCATTGCATCCGGTGGCCAGGCACCGAACTTCAAATTTTTCTTCTTCGCACAAAAGCAAGAAGAACCATCCAACTTTCTGGTGGAGTGCATAATCAACACAGCATCTGCCAAAGCACAGATAAAGGTCAAAGCTGACGACCAAACTGCATCACAAGCTTTCTCGTCTCTGTTCCAAACAGCTCTGGCCAACTTCGGTATGTTATGAGTGTTTGGCATTAAGTGTTGAACGTTAAAGCCTCTCGATCAAGTCGCCTGCATTGTTGTAGGAACAGAAGGACAAAGACGTAGTAGTAGTTTTTTCAAATTGGTTGTCGTATAGATGAGTGTAAAACGAGACTGAAGTCGCTGCACTTTCTGTTCCCCTACACCAAATTACCAGTTGCTTGGATTTTGCTCCAATCCTGTGTTATAGAAACTGCTCCATTGTAAAAGCTTTTGTGAATTTTCCTGTCCTGTAGTTAGTGTCCTTTTCTTCCCATCTCCGTCCACTTCTTTAGACTGTTTATCGGCTTTATATAAGAGAAATAATATCCAAAACCCACTTGGTAATTCTTATTTCTCTGTTTGTTAGAATGGGTTCTGTTTATGAAAATTTCAAGAGTATGTCATGTTTCTCTTCCATTTTACCTTAATATCACTTTATTAGCTTTTACCTCGTGTGTTGCAAGTTCTATTTTAAGTTGAATTTATGTCGATCTATTAGTAAATCGTCTTGCTATTACATTTAGTTGTCAAGAAAATTCGTTCCATCCATGCCAATATTACTTTAGCACTTGCAAACCTATAACCACAATCCTATATAAAATATTTTACACAAGATACAAATAGGAAGATGAATGGATACTGTTTCCTAAATGAGAACAAAACAAGAAGAGAATGGCAGAGTATATTGTTCTATTTCAAAGCAGAATTGCTTGTGCAATCATCTTACTTTCCTGTGCAAAGTTGATGCATCTTGATCAGGAGGTTGAGAAGGAATTCTACTGAGAAGCCATACTAGAACGACACCGACGAGCGCCCCAGAGAGATGAGCAACATGGTTAACATTCTGCAAGGCAGATCCTCCGCGGAAGCTTCCTGACAATGCAGTTGAAGCTTGGGCTGCTTCCATGACCTATAGTGACCAAGCAAAGCATATGGATAAGCAAGTTTCCCTCACCTTATCTTTTACACAAACCAACCAGAGATTCAAATAAAAAACAAGATTTATGCTTTTAGAAATAAAAGATAAGGGAAAGACACTTGAAATAGATTCTATTTCAAGGACAACTCAGTTGAACAACCTGGGAAAGTTAGATGATTCAAACTTATGACCCCGGGAAAGTTAGATGATTCAAACTTATGACCCCTTAGTCAAGGATATAAACCTAAATCAGTCGAACTATACTTAGATTGACAATATCTATATTTTTACTTGTCGGATCTATTAAATAATAGATAGTGTAGTCATGCATTGTGAGATCCCACATCGGTTGGGGAGGAGAACAAAACATTTTTTGTAAGGATATGAAAACCTCTTCCTAACAGACGGCGTTTTAAAAACCTTGAGGGAAAACCCGAAAGGAAAAGTAAAAAGGGAACCATATCTGCTAGTAGTGAGCTTAGACGGTTACATGCATTCCTATTTAGGAAAGTTGCTTGTCAGTAGTTTAAGATCGTTCACATGGGAGTAAAAAGAGAATGCAGTACCTTCTCTATAACGAATTGACCAAGTATAAGGACTTCGAGGATCTTCCTCCAATCCCAAGACATCTGCCACGAAAGAATTTCTTAGTTGAAGTGTATTGAAACCGAAATGAGAGTGATAAATCACAAGTTTTAGATAGATACCTTTACAAGGACACTTATAGTAAACAACCCAAAAACAGCACCAGAAGCTCCAACTGATACAGCATTTCTTGGTAAAATTAGCCATGAAACAATGTTTGCACCTACACCAGTAAGAATATAGGAAAGCCACAAAGCAAAGTTTCCTTCCTCTTCCTCAACAAGTTTTCCTGTTCATCACAAATAATGGAACTATTAAATGTCAGAACATTAGGGTGTTATTTTATGGCTTCCACCTCCAAGAAATAAAGTAGAAATCCATACATTAGAACATTCATTTTCTTGGAGGGGAGGGGAGGGAAGTCAAGTGTGGGTCTCACCAAATATATACAAGAAAAAAAGATTGCTAGAGAGATGGTTCCTGCAAAACATTCATGGAAATAGTAAGTATTCCACTAAGTCATGCTTGTAAAACCGGAAAATTGCATTCTCATGAGAAGATAACAAGCTTCTAACTTCCATCGATCCGACGAGAAATGTAAAATTTGCATGATTTTGAAGAGCCCAAAAACTCACCAATTAGCATGACAAAATGTTGCTGTAAAAAATTGATACCATGCAGGACGATTGTGGTACAGGTACAGATTTCCTATACTACGAACCTATGAAAAAGAGAATTTAGTAATTGAGTACAGGCAACTTGGTATTTGAATAACGAAGTGATATGAACCAAGACATCAATCAAACAAGATAAACTTTAAGAAATATGTGAAAAAAATGTTGTTCAAATTATCACAAGATGTTGCAATTCATACCACATTAAAGAAGAATCAAGCTCCATTTATTCTTGGATGGCTACAAATTTTGGGTGAATGGTAATTTAGAGTTATGGTGTTTTTTTTTAATGTATTTTAAGGCCTATTTACGTAGTGGCTAATTATGGTCATAAAGTATGAAAATTAAACTCTAGGAACACCTCCTAGAATGTTAAGAGTTTTCATTTAGAGGCTATATATGTTATCTTTGCAAAGAAGACTTGAAAAAGGTAGTAAAAAGAGCATTTGTGCTTTCCTTTTGCCAAAGGCCAAGTTTCTTTGCAATTCTATATAGTTTAGGTTGCATATAGAATCATTCAAGTTTGACATGATCAATTTTACTTCTGGAGTGATTCAAATCTCAAACAAGTGTTCTTGCATTAATATATTTGATCAACAAGGTAATCCGAATCTTACTTTCCTTACAGTGATTCCTTAGCATTTTGTATTAGAGCTTTCTCTTGGGTTTGGGTTGATTCCTTATCATTTGGTATAAGAGCTTTCCTCTTGGTTGATTCCTTATCACAAAATTTAAAAAAAAAAAAAAAAACCCTACCATTCTCTACTCTCCAAGTAATATTGATTCTACTTGTTGAGCATATTACAAAGTTTCAAGCCCATAAACAAGGAGAATGTTAAAAGGTTAATATAATTAAAGTTACCATCACCCATCAACTTAAGCTTTTGAGTTGCTTCAACTCGAGAATCAAGTTTTTTACTAGCTAAGTTGACTGCTATGACTCTGATGCTTTTAGAACGTATATTTTCATATTCCCTAATAAAACGGTTTACTGTTAATAATCTGCTTACGAGTGGATTAACCTATTAATGCCCTATAACAATCAGCTTTGACAAATGGTTCATTCAGTATTCCTCAACTTCCGGGCAATATTTTGGGGCTCTTTCTTTCCCAATCTCTATAGGCAAATAGCATTAGACTTGATAGCATGTGGTAACAGAACTCGTACCTGAAAAATGTGATCGGCCACATATACTCCAATGTTGAGAAGAATGATCCAGAATATACCATTAACACGCTTCTCCGGTTTCCGATTCTGCAGTGGTTTCCCTAGCTCCAACTGTGATATCAAATCTAACAAACATTTAAAAACAAAATTCTTCTTTACTTTCATTCAACCGCACGCATATTCATCAATAAAAATCACAATATCCCCTTCTAATTCAGCGAAAATTCCACAATAAACTCATAAATCAAAAGATAAATGGTTGAAAATAACGCAGAAGAACAAAAAAGAAAAAGAACAACCTGCATCGTTCATTTTGCACATCGCTATAGGTTTCGCAGCAGTGGAACGAGCGCGAAGACGAAGAACATTGCTAAATTGAGCAACCGAAATAGACGATGAGAGCGGGTGAAATAATGGAGAGGAGAATCTGAGTGAGCTTGAGCTGAATCTTGAGAGATGAGCAATGGAAGTCGTAGCCATTTGCTCGCGTAGTCCACGAGGTTTCAATATTCGGCTCCCATGGAGCTGCTGCAACCGCGATTGCATCGTTCAGTCGGGGATTTCAGAGCAGCTCCGCTGAGAATCGGATAAGCCAATTATATATATTTTCCATTTTCCATTATTAAAATTATTAGTTTTATTTTAAAAAAATTAAAAATAAATAACGAATTTCACAAGAATTATTATAATTTAAGTATATTAGAGAATAATTGACGGTTTACTAGAACGTGACGCTTTTGAGGTGACATGTCAAGCGTGAGAAGCCCAATCCGACGTGTCAAAACATGATTGGACAAAAATCAGAAAAATACGTGGCTTTATTTCTAGAGATGGTACCCATAACCTGTCGCGGTTTGTAATACTTTTATTATTTAATTTTCTCGATAAATTTTATTATTTTATTTCTACTGACCGGTTTTACTTAAATACCACGTCCAATCGCAAACGGCGTTCGTATCATAAACCATCACCAAACCAATAGGAATACGCCACATGGCAAAAGAAACGTTTGTCCGTCACGTTCCGGCAAAATCCCGGTGGTCATTGAAGATCCGACGATTTAAAGTATCAGTCCGGTGGATCGATTGGCGTCATTTTTAATTTTTAGTTTTACCGTTTCATTTTCTTTTTTTCCCATTCGTCCAGTTAAGCCCTAAATCTGAAAATTTTGTGAAAAAAATCCCTTCTCTTTCTTCGGCGAGCTCTCCGATCTGCGTGGTCAAATCCACTCGAAGTCCTCGAGCCGCCGATGATTGGTACGGTTGAATCTTTCTATCTCCAATTCAATGGTTTTCTTTATCTGTTGATGTTCATTCCATTTCTGATTATTTATTTATGGTTTGTTGTTCACGCTCGTAGTTTAAATTGATGTTTTCCTTTTAACTAATGTGTTTGTCTACGAGTTTGACTGCAGAGGGAGCAATTGCGGGACACGATTTTTCCGGATTGACAGTGTTGGTGAAAGGTGTTTAATTGAGAACTGTTCAACATGAAGAACGCCGAGCGTATTGCGAATTTTGCTTTAGCGGGTGGGTAACATATTTCTTTTATTGATTTTTTGTCGCTGTAAAATATGAATGCAAAGGTCGGCGTGCGTTAATCTTGAGATCTTTCTTTCTTTCTTTTGTGTTTGCTTTTGTAAGACCACTCTTTTAGCCCTGGATGTTTAGGCACTCGGTAACATCAATCGCTTGATTGGATAGCTTGTATGTGAATGACCAATTTTCTTTATTTTCCTCATGGGTCTATCGGTGAACTGTCTTTTCATATGCTGGACGTAATATTGGTGGTTATATGGTATGATCATAGATTATAATCTCGACTAATTGCCACTTGTAGTTTCTTGGAGTCTTTTGCAAGATCTGTATCACTTTTAGTATGGGACTAGATCAAGTTATCTGTAGTTTGTATTCATTGATCTCGATGGATTGGAATGAATTTGTACTTGTCTTCAATCACATGGAACTAATGCAATTATATATATATATATATATATATATATATATATATATTGTT